CTAACCAAATCCTAATTTGATTGACAGTAAGCTGGTATCATAAAAAGGTTAACTTTCTTGACATGTTGGAATGGCTCAATATACAAACTAAACCCACCCTTGGCAGCAGACGTCTCCATGTGAGATCTATGTGGCAACAATGAAAGCTCCATCTTGCAACAGACGTGAATCTCCTGTGCTCTCATGAGACCACTTTACAGCAGCGTGACGTTACATAACCTTTGTTAGTTGAGCAGTTAGGCAGAAGGGATGTAATGTCAGCAGTTTTAGATGGTGTAAGCAACTTTTACAACCACATTAGCAACATTTAATTTCAAACAAAGTCATTGTTTGAACTGTAGTGGTATCATTAGTCATACTGGTACTCGGTATCAGCAAGTACCAACATGTAAGTATTTAGTCTAAAAGAAGTGGAATGAGGGCATCCTTATACTTTCTCAGTGAATATATTCTGCTGCCTAAAATGCCTGATTTCACTTTAAAAAAATGTTTTTGTGTGTGACAGACACGCAAATGTCTGCACCTTCACAGCTAGAGACAAGGAAGGGAGTCTGGTGATGTATGGCTCAGTGCTTTGCACAGGAAACTACAATGATTTGTGGAAAAGTTGCAGTGATTGGACAAAATTGCAAGGTTGTACAACATTTACAGGGATTGGATGAGTTTGCATTAATTTATTTTGAGTGCTTAATGAGCACAGGGAAACTTTCCTCTTTCAGCAGAGGAATGTGAAAACATCCTTCTAGTGTCAAACTGCACAGACAGCATTCAGAATTCTCTTCTTGACGGCTCTGCTGATGGTAGTGTAGAGATGCTGCGTCAACGCCACCAGAGACTCTACATGACTTACAAGATAGAGAGACAACTGACGCCCATCCTCCCGGGCCTGTTTCTGGCCTGGTTGGGGGTGGTGCCCCTGATAGGCTTCATCCTGTCCAGACTTGTAATGCTGCTGATTGATCTTAAATTCCAATTTAATAAGAGCCAGAAATTCATTCATTTCAAGTTGCAACTTCTCAGACTGACATTACCTAAAGGCTACAGGTTGTTCTCTCATCAGGGGGAAAAGACCCCCTCCAGACATGTATTAAAGGTGCAGTGTGTAACATTCAGGAAATTCTATTGTTAGAAATGGAATATAATATTCATTAGTTTTCATTAGTGTATAATCACCTGAATATAAGAATCATTTTGTTTCTGTTACTTTAGAATGAGCTGTTTTTATCTACCATGTTGAGCCACATTTGTATTTTTTGAGTTTCACGGCCACTGTAGTTTGTCCTCCATGCTTCAAAGGCAAGCAGTTATTCAAATAGTTGCAATCTGTAACTTCACCACTAGATGCCACTAAATCCTACATACTGGTCCTTTAAAGGACCCAACTTGACATTGTTTGTCTGAAGGACCAAGGTTAATTGCTGGTATAACACTATTTTTATAATGAGAAATAGCAGGCTTTAGGGAAGAGATACAAAACAAGGAAAACAAGGTGGCAGAGGTAAGATGTCAGGAGGATACTTCAAAACCTTGAATGGACAAAGAAAGTCCAATTAAAAAGAATATTTTACTGGACCTCATATACTATACTGTAGGTACATGTCATGTCAGTCCAGTCACTGAGTACCAGAAGTAGCTCAATACCAAACTCCAGTCTGAGCAGGTAGCAGGAGTCCTCCACGGTACTGCACTTACGGCACCTAAAAACACCCTGGTCTTATTTCAGCTGATGGAGCCTCTCCACTGGAGTGTGACACGGGTGAGAAAATATTTTAAAAAAGAAAATAAATATTTATTTTCCCCTCAGTGTCTCATTATTTGTTATTTTTGTTAGTTTGTTTGAAAGCAGAATCACTTTTATTGGCCAGGTATGTGCACACATACAAGGAATTTGACTCTGATTTTACTTAATGCACAAACACAGAATAAGCATAAATAAACAGGACAACAAGCTCAACAAAATGGAGATAAACTACTATGTACAGTTATACATATATAAAAACAAACAAAAAATAACATTTGTAGACTGATTCAGGCACTGGTGAAAGGTCTAGTGTGTAACATTTGGGAGGATGTATAGTCAGAAATGGAATATTAAGTGAATAGGTATATTTTCATTAGTGTATAATCACGCAAAAATAAACATCTTAAATTAAGTGAACTGTTAAAAACTTGTTCAGATTTTAAAGCCTGTGCATTATATTCTCAGTTTATGCTTTAATAATGACAGGAAGTAAATGACTGCACAATGGACTTATTTCATTCTATATAAATGAAATAATAAACAATCAGTATGATTATTGTATACTATTAATCTATATCTATACCATTGTATAGTATTATAATGTTTTAAGGAGTTCGGTCTAGACCTGCTCTATTTGAAAAGTGTCCTGAGATAACTTCTGTTATGAATTGGCGCTATACAAATAAAATTGAATTGAATTGAATTGAATTATATAATTGGTATATGTATTTCCAGCTAGTGAACTCTTGATTGGATGCAGACTGAGCTGTGAGTCTGACCCATATCTGACCTTTCCAGGTGGGCTATGGGGACGCCTCTGGCTTCCTTTTTATCCTCTCTAGTTTCCTGAGTGCCATGGTCCTGTCACGGTGGCTCAGGGATCTCACTCTGATCACCATCGGCATGCTGTCCCACTCAGCCGGCATGCTCCTCATGGCTTTTGTCACCACCACTTACATGTTCTTCGTCGGTAAGACCGTGGCGCTCATCGGTTTCTATTGCTCATGTCCACTTGAGAAAGTTATGATCAAAACTGAAACCACACATGGAGGTATGAAGAGACAAGGTCTTCTCCCCCTCAGTCTGTCCCATTATAGCCAGTTCTTGAAAGCTGAAACATGATACTGCAAGGACACAATTTTTCCATTACCATCTTCTTTTCAAAGGTCACATTATTCTATTGTTTTATAGAATACACGTGCATCAACAATTTATAATTCTTTTCTGTTTTTTTATTTGCATATTTGCTTTTCATTATTAGTCAGTAGTTACTGTGCTCTCTCAGTGTTTCCCAAACTCATACATAGCTCATTGAGTGGGCCTCTAGCACATCCAGAGTCTGCCAGTCTCCACTGAATAAAGCAACAACCACATAGAAGCTTTACCAAGCTCCAACACGCCTGGTGGATTATTCTGTCCTGCAGGTGTCATCCTCACCTCACTGCAGCTACAGCAGTTCACATACACACACTGTGATGTTACTAAAGGACATGTTACCTTTGTAGAGTACTTGTCAGTGGACTGGCTGTAAGGTGCTGCTACCAGCAGGTCCATGAAGAAGAGGAGGCCAATAAAGACAGCCTCTTACTCCTGACACGTGACTGTAGTGATGAAGTAAGCTCAGTCATTGTCCTGTTTTCATCAATGAACAACAAGAGAGGGAGAGTACTGAATATCAGCTGTTACATTCTTTGACATGTACAGTAAGTTTAAAAGACATGAAAATAAAAACTGTTTGGATTTCAAAGTTTTTTCTGCACTGCTGACCACTGAGTAAATGAATTCTGAAGGATTAAAGATCCACTGTGTAACATTGAGGAGGGTCTATTAAAGAAGAAGAAGAAGACGAAGAAAGTCATTTTGGAGAGGAGAGTAAAAAGGCACATTTTCCTTCATGTCTTTTTTAAACACTTGGCCGTAATCTTTTATAATATTATTATAATAATATAATTATAATATAATTATAATATTATAAAAGATTATGGCCAAGTGTTTAAAAAAGACATAAAGGAAAACGTATCTTTTTACTGTCCTCTCCAAAATTACTTTCTTCTTCTTCTTCTTCTTCTTCTTCTTCTTCTTCTTCTTCTTCTTCTTCTTCTTCTTCTTCATGTCTTTCGGGTCTGGTCCCACAGGACTGGTCCATCCATAGACATATGTCTATTGGTCCATCCCTCAGGTCAGGTCCCCCTAGTGGCCTGGGGCACTCCGTATTGTGGTGCAAATTTGCAGCATTTCTCTTTGGCATTTGTTTTGTGGGTTTGTAAGTTTTTGCTTCTGCTTCGTTTCTGTGATTGCAGCATTTTTCTGTTGCATTTGTTTTTATGTGTTTGTGTGTTTTTGGATTTGCAGCATTCCCATGTTTGCAGCGCTTTGCCGTTTGCGGGGCGTTTGCCCTTGTCGGCCACCGTAGTATGTTTTCATTACTTGAATCATTATGTTTCTAGAGTAGCCCAGAATGAACAAACCAAACATTGACTCCAGATGGGATGGTTATCAAACGTTTCCTGGCCATAATTGTTTCTCTCTCTTTCTCTTGAGTTGATGCCACTAAATCCCACACACTGGACCTTTACACAATTTTACAATTTACAAAACTATGTTAAAGCACATTTATATGCACGCAGCTGCTGCACTCCAGCTTAGTCATACTGTATGTGCTCATGCTATTTTTGTATCTAAAACACTTTTAGATACATTCAGTTCCTCCTGGAATGAAAGGGAGCACTCCACCCTATTTCTCCTCTAACAACCTCACCTCGCCTTTTCTTCACACCCATTTTTTCAAAACTGCACAGTAGGTGGAAAGAAGAGAAAAATTACGCTACACACCCTTAACGGCACCAGGTATGAGTAACTGAATGTCATACTTACTTTTACTGTAACAGTATACCTGTGTGACTGAGAGAGAAAGGAAAGAATAATAATGCAGTTGACTTTCACACTGTAGTGAGAAGAACTGGAATCAAAAAGAAACAAAAGTCCTCCAAACTGCTACACTGGATTTACAGTTTATTAAGAGAAACAATAAATAAAATACAGTTGTTTTTGACATGAATGTTGATATCTGCACCCCTTATTCACTCAATAAGTGACTGCTGTTACAGCTGAACCCGTTTTTATATGAAAGGTTTACTTTGTTGGACATGCCAAAAGATTTGAATTTATGAGACAAAGAGAGTAAAAACATATCCTAATGGACTTATTAATGGAAGAAACTCTCTTGCCGGCACAGTATCTGGCCCTCCAGTTGCTCCTCTCCACAAGTCCCTCCTACAGGAAACACACTGGCTGGACCAGCTTCAAGTTTCACCAGAGAGGAAGTGGCAACCAAAAAACCCTTCACGTCTCAAGAACTAACAGGCTGGTAAGTTGCTCTGTCTTCAATTTGACTTACCTCTATTCTTTTAAAGATTGACTGGGGACTGTGTGACTTGTAATCTGAGATGTCTGTATGTTAGCGTGTGTGTGTGTGTGTGTGTGTGTGTGTGTGTGAAGGAGACACAAAGAGAGAGAGGGAAGTCAGAGAGAGTGAATACTACACTGTACAAACAAAACACATGCTCTGCTGTGACTGTGTCAACCAGAGGATAAAGCATAGGAGTGTTTCTAACTGCTTCTTTTAAGTGTGTGCTGACAGAAGTACATTTCAACAGGTTTGAAGTTATCATAAAATGAACAATAAGCAGGCAGCATACGGCAACACAACAACATGTCAGCTCGAGACAGAAGGGTTTTTTTAGGACACTGTGTATGGTATGAATGTATCAGTCTGTGTGGTGAGCAAATAGAAGTTCAAAGATAGACATTTTTAAAATTTTATGGTTCTGGGTAAACTTGGTATGGGATCTGATACGGTCTGCTGTTCACATGCACCAACACGTTTAATTAGTAATAAGAACAGATCTGGTCATGCACAAATTTTAGTGATGAATATATGCATTCCTCAACAGCTACCTTTCTGCACCAACCCATTCAGCAATGACTCCATATTTTTTATCATCATAATTTTTGTTTGTTGTTTGTTGCTTCGGTTTATCCTGGTTTTGTTCATTTTGTCATGCACTTGTTTGATTTCTTATTTCTCTACTGTCTAGAACAGTGGTTTTCCTTAAGGGACTCCTTCTCTATCATTAAGTAAACTGACAAACTCTAAGAGACATATTTTAGGGAATTTTGAGCAGATTATTTCCTGTGAATTCAAATTCAAGAGGTTTATTATCATATGTACAGTATAAACACAAGGCTAGTACGCACAATGAAAATCTTACTTTGCCTTAATGTTGCATCAGAGATGAGTTTTCCTGATATTTTTTGTGGAATTGTTAATACAATTATCTGTTTGTATTGTAATTTTGTTTGAATTTTTTACCAGTCATACATACTTAAAACTTAAAATTAAAAAGGCCTCTCAACTCCCTGTAAAACTTTGGTGACCCCCAGTTTGGGAACCGCTGGTCTAGGCATACAATAATGTTCAGTTTTGTATCAAAAACAAAATCTCCACAGAGGTCCAGCTCAGCTTGGAAGCTGCCATTTTCTAGAAGTGGAGAGTCACTTTTACCATGAAGCAAGAATGTTAGCATTAGCTATTAACTTTCCAGACCTAACTCTTCCTGAGGAATTACGGGGAAATGCTTACATTTGCTTCCACACAGCCTCTACTGTGAGTGCAGAGTCAGACTCTACAGGAGGCTCACAGGCACATAGGACTGAGACCAGAGTATATTGAGTCTGTATCGACTCTGCAGTTAATGTTTAACTTTGGACACACAGACAACAAAACCCCAGTGTTTTTTTTTTGTTTGTTTGTTTGTTTTTGCAATAACACGAAAACATTTATTAAAGAAGATAATAATAATGATAAATGCAATGAATCAGTGATGTAATAAAGTATACAAATGCTATGGATAATATGAGCCGCATGTTTGTTGCTGTTAAACAAAAAAAAAGGACAATACAAAACAAAACAACAGAGCTTAGTCTGGGTACGTAGGCTTAAATAATTTAGGAGTGCAATGGCACTCAGCTCCTCCCAGCCAAGATACACACACACACAGACACACACACTACACAGGACCAAGGCAAAGGATGCTGGGACCATCAGGTTATCTAGTGACTTAATGAAAAGAGAGAGTGATCAAACTATTTGGAAAGTTGTGGTATTTATTGATTTAGTCTACAAATATAAAATCAGTAAGTAAGTTAAATTTAGTAAAGTCCACTTAGTCTGTCAATCCAAGCTGTTTGTCTGTCGTGTCCACACAGTGAACTTGTCCCAATGTTCAAACAATCCTTCCTCACTATTTTCCAAGCCCAGCAACTGCAGTATGTTGGCCAACAAAACATGTAAACACACTCTTGCAGGTAACTCCCTTTTGTTAGCCAGCCAGAAGGGAAAGATTAGAACTGTTATAGTCGACTAAGCTGGATTCTTTTTAGATCCCTAAACATAGAAAAAAAGATAAATAAATCTGTTTGGAGACAGTGATTTCTTATAAAGCATCACTGTATCTACCCATAAACTATGGAAAAGTTTGAGCCACGGATTCCCAACCAGATTTCTAATGCTTTTGTTCCCAAAGTGCCAATATATGAAGAACATACAGTATGTTCACACACACACTGTAGGTCTAAAAACATGTACATTTTGTCCTACAGAATAAATGACACTTACAATAATTTCTGCCCTCAAGTGAAAGCGGAAGACACTAGAAGAATTATGCAGTTTAAAGTTTTGTAATTCTTCTTTCCACACCATGCTGCATTTTCAGAAGTGCTTTTTTTTCTTTTCTTTTTTTTACTCTTTCTCTTTATTTCTGCTAGGCATACGCAAGTAATTTGGCGTACAGAACAAAGTAACCTTCTGCATACTGCATAGAATAAAATTAAACAGGACAAAAGTATCTGTGTGCTTGTACACCGAGGAAGGATCTTATGCTGACCCAGAGCTCGCTTGTATCCTCATCTAACTCCCTAACGATGGAGGTGGCTCTTTCCATGCTTAAGAGAAAAAGGAATTCCTCCTGCCATCTATCTCTGGAGAAGCAGGAGGGTTTCCTCACCTTCCAATTCATTAAAATCCTACGCTTTGTTGAAAGGCACGCAAGGGCAACCACTCTTTGGTGTTTATTGCTTTGGATATTCTCAGCACGGGCCCCGAGCAGGCATGTTATAGGGGAAAGCTGAAGGTCAACTTTGAGGATCCCTGACAGGAAATGTGCCACCTCTCTCCATAGGGACTCAATGACTGGGCAGTGCCATAGCATATGGAGGAGCGTTCCCTCTTCTCCACATCCATGCCAACATTGAGCCGATAGGCTCTGGTCCATCTTTTTTAGTCTGACCGGAGTTAGATATGCCCTATGCATTATCTTCATCTGTATTACTCTATATCTTACACATTTGCTCATATATGCGTAAGATAACATATAACATAACCCCAGTGTTAATATATTATCACTGTCGTTAAAATGCCATTACATTTGGTGAAGTGCACATTAAGACTTGTTTTGAACTTAAAATTCAAAGTTTAGGACTTCAGACTTGTCTGTCTTGATATGGGACTTACTTGGGACTTGCAAAACTACGACTTGATCACACCACTATTAGGTTTCCAGTACTGTGGGCTATATCTTGAGTGAGGGTTTATATTATGGTAGCATTCTTTTTTGCATCTGTTCAGCCATAACTCACTAATTAAATGACGTGATTCTTACCCCAACCCTAACCTCACCATACTCTTACCTTATCCCGACCTTCATCTCAACAAACCATTTTCTAAACGTTATTATCTCAACCAATTATGTGCAGGTTATACACTGTACTTATGTGTATGACTGTATGTCAGGATACTACAGAATGTGTATGTGAGAGTTAGTTTGGTGAGTCTGGGGGTCAGGCCTGTGTTTGTCCTCAGCTGACATGCAGTTTTGTCTCATGTGTTCTGATGGAGTGTTCACTTTTGTCCAGATTTTGTCCAATACATGCAGTCCACAGTGTATTTACAGTTATTGCAGCTTCTGCAGTTCTTGTGTGCACACAACTGTTCGATCAAATGTGATGGCCTTTGGCCTCTGCTTTTGTCTTCACACACAAGGTTACCATCTCTTGCAGCTCTGTGCCATGAGGTCCTCTTCCCTCCTCCTACTCTCCTTCCTCGTGGGTGTGTGTGATATTCAAGGGGCTTTAGGTTTTAGGATCTGTGCCTTCAACCTCCATCACTTCGGGGATTCCAAGTCCAAGAAGAGCGATGTCATGCAAACTCTTACCAGGGTAAGACAGAGACGGATGGATCCATCTGATAATCAAAACTGACCGTGATGTTACAGAAATACCCCCTTTCTCACAGTAATTCTAAATTAAATATATATAACATGTAGCATAACTTATTACTTATAAGGGTGGCTGTGGCTCAGAGGTAGACCGGGTCGTCCACTAATTGGAAGGTTATTGGTTCGATCACCGCTCCTCTCGCTGCATGTCGAAGTATCCTTGAGCAAGATACTGAACCCCAAATTGCTCCCGATGCTGTGCATCGGTGTGTGAATGTGTATGAATGAGCTGGTTTCTGTTTGATGGAGTTCAGTCAGACAACTCACGTTTAAAATGTTTATTACAGCAGTATAGCTTCGTTAGATTTTGGCGTCTAGGCTCCGACCTCATCACTCACCACAGATATGTTTACATAGAGATATTGGGAAGTGCCATCACTGAGTGAATGTGTGTGAAAGGGTGAATGTGGCATGTAGTGTAAAAGTGCTTTGAGTGGTCGGAAGACTAGAAAGGTGTTATACAAGTACAGGTCCATTTACCATTTACTTAAAACAGATAAGAAATATAGTAGAATGTACAGCATTCATTTGTTGGCTTGATGAGTTAGAAACCCCAGTAACACTTTATTTAAAGGGATGTGCATGGTCTAATGACAACCAATGTCAAAACCAACCACATACTGTATGACAGTATAACATAATGTTAACACATAAAGCTAGCATGGTTATGTTGTTGTTGTTGTTGTTGTTGTTGGCAGGTGTCATATCAGCCTTATGCACATATATCGCTAGCCTTGAAATCAAGGCTTATTACATTTAGATGTAAAGTCTAAAGTCTAAAGTAATCTAAAGTCTGCTGTATGGCCCACTAGGCTCACTACCATGGTACTCACTAGCAATACCATAGCTAGCATCCTCATACCCGAAATGTAATATTAATTTTTATGTATGTCACTTTTTCATTCCTGTGATATCTTTTCCAGATCATTGCTCGCTGTGATGTCTGTTTGCTTCAGGAAGTGAGGGACAGTAAGGAGAAAGCTTTACCACAGCTGCTTGACAGCCTCAACAGGTGATCCATCACTCGCTTTCAAAACACAAACACATTGAGACCACGCGACTGCACGCTCCCATCACTACAGTGCAACACAGCTGTCATTCATGACCGCATTAACAGTTGTATCCACTCTTCTGCCTGTGTCTCTTCAACATTCAGGTATGACACTGACCATGTGTATGACGCTGTGGCCAGTGAGAGACTGGGCAGGTCTGAATCATACAAGGAGCAGTATGTGTTTGTTTACAGGTGAGCACTGGAGCCACTTTGTAGCTCGACTCACCAAAAACAACAGGTGCTCATGTAGCTCACCTGGTAGAGCTGGGGCCCCACGTACTTTGCTGCATTGGCCCATGGTTCGACTATGACCTGTGGTCCTTTGCTGTGTGTCATCCCCTCTCTCTGTCCCCCTTTCCTGTCTATCTTCAGCTTTCACTATCAATTAAAAGCCCAATATATTATAAAAACAAACAAAATGTTGAAACATCTTAAGTACAGGCTGTATATAATATGTGTGTCTGAATGTTTGCAGGACCGGTGCAGTGACAGTCACTGGTGAGTATCAGTACCCAGATGATCTGCCTGGAGATGTTGATGCTTTCTCTAGAGAGCCTTTTGTTGTCCGCTTCAAAGCCCCCAAGACAGGTGAGTGCTCTGACACATTCCCATTAAAGATGATGAAAATCATGGTGATGTTTAAACACCTTTCCCTGTGCCCACTCTTGTCTTCAGTTATAAAGGAGTTTGTTCTCATACCTCAGCACACCACTCCAACCAACACCACGAAGGAGCTTGATGCACTGTATGACGTTTTGCAACGTGTGAGGAAAATGTGGAAAACTGAGGTAAAAGCAAATTTTGCTGAATGTTAACTAGAGCTATAGGACACTTTAACAATGACACAAAGTTTAAAGTTCAGTCGATTGAAGATAGGCATGCATTGTACAGTTTGGCTGTTTCTGATCCCAGCTGAAGACTCATTTTAGAGTCAGACTGAATTTAAGCTCTGTTGGGCGTTGTTGGCTGTGCAGAGTACTGGGACTGACCCACTGCTCCCAAATAGCCATAAACAGTCAGATGAATTTCTGACATGTTCACACAGTTGAAGCAGAGCCATGAGTCAATTCCCAAGTCTGTGCATTTTATCTCACTGCGCCTGCACAAAGTATGGAGGACTGAAAGTGCCACAATTAAATAAATAAATACACCATTAAATAATTACTCAAATGTGTCATTCATTAATTAAAACTGGAATTAAATACATAAATGTGTTATTAAATATGTCATTCATTAATTCAAATACCGATTAATTTTATGTAAAATACATATATAATTATTTCACTATTTACATTTACATTTCATGGTCCTGCGTTGCAGTGCTTCATGAATTACTTTAATCTGTCAAACTCACCCATCAAAAGTTGGTAGGCGAACCTAACGCCTGATTGGTTACCCTGCGCATCAAGCCAAGACAAATCAATTCCAGATAATGGATCGATGCAGAGCTAGGAACACATTCCAATACACTGGGTGGCGCTATTGGACTACTTCTTCTAAATCTGCAGTCACTCTGTGGTCAATATATCGGTCGGAAAGTGCGGAAATAACTCCAAGAACTTCAATAAGTTCCTCTGCTTACTCCACATGCTCTGGGTCAGCAGCTCCTGCTTCCACATCCGCCCACCCAGCCAATCATCATCGCATTTGCAACGGTGTCATCATCACTACCCTGCCCTCTCCTGGCAGCTGATGTGTGTCTGTCAGAAAGCCTGACACCGCTGCGCTTCATTCAACCACATTGTAGTAACGCAAGTAACGCGCCACTTTACATTCTCAGTAACGGTAACGTCGTTGCAACGATGGTAAAAGTAATTAATTAGATTACTCTGTTACTGAAAAAGAACGCCGTTAGTAACGCAGTTATACTTAAACGCCGTTACTCCCAACACTGGTCAGGATACTGGTTGAGTGATCATATTGGGGTCCTAGACTGCTTATTTTCTGTGACCTTGTTCAGACGGGTGGGTATGTTTGATGAAAACTTTGTGTTTTGTCTCATAGTGGCGTTTCACACTAGCACTTTTAATCAGCGCCGCGGTCTCTGAACATATGAGACACACTGGTTATGTGCTCCCAGTGGGAAGAATGAATGTGAATGAATCTGTCCATTAAAAGCTCGATTTTCTATCCACTTTTCTCTTCTTAGAGAGCGCCATAAATCTTCTGTTGTCTCGCGCTCACTCATTTCTCCGTTTCCTCTCCATGTATCTGTGACTTCTCTTTCTGTCTGTCTCTCCTCTCTCATTGCTCTCATCTCTGTATTCAGTCGCGCTGTTTAAACAGATTTGATTGGCTGAGCAGCATCACGTGGGATGGCTTAACTAGCATGCGATTGGTCTGTGAGCTTCCTGATCTGCTAAACAAATACCGTAAAGACTAAAAAAGCTGTGCTGGTTAAAATAGAAGCTCCCCATCAAAATTTAGAATCCTAAATAATGAATTGATTATAGGTCTGGGTCCGCATAGGACGGTGTCTGGGTCCGCATAGGACGGTGTCGGGCCCTGCTTTAGAGACCTCTGCCCTAGAAAGTTCATGAAGATCTTCCTGGCACTCTACTTCAGACCAAAGCAATGGATCAGGCTAGATTCGCGTTGGCCCCACCCTCTGAGTTTGATGGCTGGCTTTGACAGTTTTAAGTAATTCATGAAGCACTGCAACGCAGGACCATGAAATGTAAATGTAAATAGTGAAATAATGATATATGTATTTTACATGAAATGAATCGGTATTTGAATTAATTAATGACACATTTAATATCACATTTATGTATTTAATTCCAATTTTAATTAATTAATGACACATTTAAGTAATTATTTAATGGTGTATTTATTTATTTAATTGTGGCACTTTCAGTCCTCCATACAAAGTAGCCAGCAGACTGTCTGAAGGTGCTGTGTCGATTTTACACAGTGTGAGCACGTAAATCATGAGCTTTGGCTTTACATTGCGATTTATACATACAGTATATTCATACAGTAGGATTTCTAAATTTCTAAAATCATATGGTATATGCCCAGTTTAAGATTTTGTAGTCTTACCATCAGTGTGTGTATATGAGCAGAACGTGATGCTTCTGGGAGACTTCAACGCTGACTGCGGCTACCTTGCTAAGAAGAACAGGAAGCATGTGCGCCTGATTACAGAGAGGAACCTCTATTGGCTCATTCCAGATAAGACTGACACCACTGTGCGAGCGGCCACCTCCTGCGCCTACGACAGGTAAACTCATGTAGAGTATGTCATTTAGATGTAGTTTGATGACGTTACAAAGTAGCGTGTAATCTATCTATCTATCTATCTGACATGATGTATTAAAGTTTTCTTCCATTTGCTGACTTCCTTTTTTAGTGTCACAAATCTATTGATTACATTCCAGGGAGCTAACTTAATGCTGATTATGAATAGAAAATTCAACATTTGATACACACCAATATCTGGGCAATCGTTGTGGAAACCTTTTGGAAAAGGGCAGGCACTTTCCAAAAATACTTCACTGTCTGCGAACTTCCACCAATCAGATCGACGAATCATATCAAGTAGTCAAACTCTTACTGAAGGCAGTCAGGATCAGCAACTAATGCTAGTAGCATCTAACATCTTTAGCAGCCACCATTCTTGTTTTTGAAAAGTATTTCTCGCTGCAACTTACTGCACATAACTTGAAGTCACAAAGTTCTGTCTCTCGCTCTCTCTCTCTCTGTCTCTCTCTCTGTCTGTCTGTCTCTCCCCTCTCTCTCTTCTCTCTCTGTCTCTCTCTCTCTCTCTCTCTCTCTCTCTCTCTCTCTCACCCCAACTGGTCGAGACAGACGACCACCCACCTAGAGCCGAAGGATCTGTCCTAGGTTTCTGCCTTTTAACAGGCAGTTTTTCCTTGCCCTTGTCTCCAAGGTCTTGCTCATGGTGGTACTGTTGGGTCTCTGTAAATAATGTTATAAAGGAGTTCGGTCTAGACCTGCTCTATTTGAAAAGTGTCCTGAGATAACTTCTGTTATGAATTGGCGCTATACAAATAAAATTGAATTGAATTGAATTGAATTGAATTAAAATATATATTTGGGTCCGTCCATTCTGTGTGTTACAACAGGATCGTTGTGCATGGGGAAAGTTTTGACAGAGCAATTGTGCCTTCTTCAGCCAAACCATTCAACTTCCAAATGGAATACCAACTCACAGAGGAGCAGGTAACAGGCTGTGTGTCTGTGTATAAACATGTAAATGTGAAACAATTTCACAAACAGAACTAAAACAGTAAAATATGTAAAGAACTACATAAAGGCCAAATTCTGTTCTACAGAATTGTGCTAAACAGCTTCTTCTGTGGTTTCTGTTCAGGCACTGGAGGTTAGTGACCATTACCCGGTAGAGGTTCTGCTGAAGGACCTCCCAAAAGTCACCTCCAACGGTGCTTCTTCCTTGACATTAACTGGAACACAGGAGACTGCAAATCAGAAAACAACTCAATCAAAGTTCTTGTCCTTGTTTGTTGCCAGCCACCTTGCCTTGCAAATGTTAACACAGTAGTTTAAAAGTATATCCGGACAATCTCAGGACAGCTTACTTCACAAACTGATGAGAACTTCACAGTTCCCCAACTGGAGTCCAACTTGCCAAATATCACTGATCTCCACAGGAATGGCTCCTGATGTGGGGTTCGGGATTAGTAAAAGAAAAAAAATGACAGAACTGTTGACCTTTACCATTAAGTGTTGTATCTATATTTAACAATGTATCTACCTGTGTGTCTGCGTGAGATACCTCAGTATGATGGATCAGTGCTTCATAGCACTGCAGAGATAAATCCCTCCCACACATTAGTTATCTGTTCACGTAATGCAGTTTATTTGTTCCTTCAGTTTAGGAAAATTTTACCCTTTTATTAATTTCCTGAGATTGCATTGAAGGTAGAGAGCAACAAGTAGGTGCTCCAGAATGCTGAACTTTACTGTACTGAGATATGCTATGTGCTAGGCTCTCTATGTTTGTAAAATGCTGTAAATGCTGTATATATGGTGAAAATGACAATAAAGACTGATATTGATATTGATATTGAAAAGACAACCACATTTTAAAGATGGTTAAAAGATAAAAGCAACATATGTTAGCTAATGTTAGCAAAAAATTTGCAAAACACTTTGATCTTTTAACAATCTTCAAAATGTGGTTTTCAATATAGACAAACCTAGCACAGGTTTTTAAGTAGCCTACAGGATCCAAAAGGGGCGGGGCTTAGGAAGGGTCAATTCATCCAGTATCTCAAGGGCACACATGATGAGAGAACAAATTAAGTAGTTCAACAGTACAAAGCCACTGAAATAATGATATGGAGCACATCAATTACTAATGTGACAGAACAATGTATCAAACAATTTCTCTATAGAACAGTGCTAAAATATAGAAATTGTTACCACTATTATTAAATGTTCATACCATGTATATAAGCTATGCACTTTATAAATACTCTATTGGTTTTGGAATGCTTTATATGTTAAATTTGTCATAAACTCAAGTCAAGTCATAAACTGTCTTGTGACTTTCTTTTCAGTAGACATTTCTGAGAATGAGGAAGAAAAAATTCTGTCTAATAACCACCGGCCAAACCTTGACATTTCTTGTTCTTTTAGTATATCCTTCCTCTTTTTCTCCTCATGGCAGTCTGTTTAATTGTTTGCTATCATATTCTCTCTCCTGTTTTCTCCGACTCCATGTTTATTTTATACTTGACTCTACACTGTAAAACTACAATAAACATGTTTCATGTCAGGTCTAATTAAAGGTCCACTGTGTAACATTTACTAGGATCTACTGACAGAAATGGAATATAATATGTTATAATATATTTTATATGTGCATATATATAATGTTTTCATGAGTGTATAACAACCTGAAAATAAGAATCGTTGTGTTTTCCACAGTCCACCATGTTGAACGGCTATGTTTCAACAGTAGTCCAGAATGGACAAAGCAAACACTAGCTTTAGGAAGGGCCTTGTGTGTCTCACTGGACACACAACTATCTATCAGTGCCCCATTTCCTGTTTGTGATACATGAAGGAGAAGGATTAGAGAGCTAAAGGAGAAAATAAATCTTGTCATTCCAAAATCTAGCAATATAGCAACACAATAACCCAGAACAGACTGACTTCTCTCTCATACATGTGAACATATCTAGTTTGGACGTACGGTATATGTTCTAATGCAATCCTTCATTAACCTCATGCAAGGCCAGGGCCACTTTTAAGTGTTTATTGGGTTTATTACCACTTTGAATACTTTTGTCACTGAAATGTCAGAGGATTTTTTTCAATTACACATTTTCTTTTCACTTAAGCCTGTCACTGAGCCTAAAATGTGGCTGTAACTGATCATTCAATTCATGTTTTTTAACATGTTATTCTGGAAATTATTCTAAATGAATGTGTACATTTGACACCTGTCTAAATCCACCCCTGTATGTCACATTCTGAATATAGCTTGATAGTTTATGAGCTCAGATCTTGAACAAACACAGTGTTGACCGTAGGTTACGGTGATTGATTCTGTAAAAAATGTAGATAACTTCTTAACACTCTTCCCAACATGCATTGTATTTGGGTTAAGTAAAAATCTTCTTCGTTTCTAATTTGAAAACAGTTAAATGCAGCCCTCAGACTGACACACCAGCCATACTTATCATTGATTTGAGCCATAGGTAATATCAGGGATGCTGGTCTCAATGTGGCTGCTAGTGGAAAAGCCCAAACTGCAACAAAGATGCTGTAGCAAATGAAAGATCAGATTTGGATCTGTTTAATATAACCATTCAATGAACAAACTCAAATTCAAAACTTAAACAGTCTTAATTCAGTTTTCTTTATGTGTTGCTCTGAAATTTGGAGTTTTACCTTTTTGGTTCTTAAACTGTGTGAGGGAGGTTGAATGTGTGTGTGTGTGTGTGTGTGTGTGTGTGTGTGTGTGTGTGTGTGTGTGTGTGTGTGTGTGTGTGTGTGTGTGTGTGTGTGTGTGTGTGTGTGTGTGTGTGTGTGTGTGTGTGTGTGCTGTCTGTCTGTCTGTCTGTCTGTCTCTTGGTGGCACATCTGTATTTGTCCTCAGCTGACTTACATTTTTGTCTTACTTGTCTTGTCTAATGGGTTGTTTGCTCTTGTCTGTACATGTAATCCTCAGTGGGAGACTCTTGATCTCATGAAGATGAAATCAATCAGGCCACAAGTCGATTCTTGGTTAAAGCTGGTTTGTTCACACGTGCTGTCAGACCCAAAGTAGAACTGAAGTACAACCCAGAGTCTGCCCTAAGACTAAGAGACCCTACCTATGCCACAGAGGGAAATACAGACTAAAGGTACACAAACGTTTAAGAGATATAAAAGTTGATATGAAAGTATTAAAGGAATACAATGAGTTCTCTTGCTATCGACAGTCTGCTTATGTACCTGCATGCATGTTTTATTTATTGTGGCTTTGTTTTTATTGTATTAGACTGACACTGTGCACATTTTTTGTGTTTCTGCTTTTCATGTTTTAGTTAGTGTCTAATAATTCAACAATGTTGTTGAAAATAGGATTTTTGGCTAACTGGTACAATGTTTTTTCAGTGTGCACAGTCACTGCTAAATAAGCCATGTTTTGTCATTAAACAAAAGCACATATCAGTGGCTTTTTCTGTAGTGTTATAAGTCAAAATAATCAATAATATAAGCAAAAATCATAAACCAGAGACTCATTTTGATGAGTTGCTGCACATTACTGCTTTTGTATTGATGGAAATAACAGACTACATGCAGAAACAAAGACCTCATGTGTTCTGAATTATTGTGAGTGTCCTAACAGGCTCTTACACAAGTAAGACACAACACATTCAACATGAAGACAAGCTGTATTTTTGTAGTGAAGGTATCAGCTGTTAATATCGGCTGAGACTTTCCTTTATTCAGTGTTTAACAGGTTTGTATGTTTTTATCAGTGGGACTTTCAGTAATGATAGAACTGACCTCTCCTTGCTGAACTCACTGCTACCCCCCATCTCTCTTTTTCTGCCACAATGAAAAAGTAGCATGTAGCCCTCCAGTAGGTTAAAGAGAATTGTTTTAAATGTTTTTTTTTAATCTCCATGTGTAACCTGTGTATGTGTTGACAGGTTCTGGTTTGAAGATAAAGACGTCATGTACAACAACATCAGATACAGTTTGTGAACCACTGGAGGGATTCTACTGTTTGGACTCTGCAGAGGACGGCTGTATGTCAGCACAGAGACACACACTCTGTCAACCAGGACAATACATCAGACAATACGGTGGGTTTACTTCTTGATCTG